AAAAGATTATCTTACCGATGAAACGTGAAGTTGAAGGTTGATTTACTTACCGTAATCAACAATGGAAGCTATCGAAAATCCGAGTTTCGGTCTCGATCACCATCGCCGTACAAAGGTGGAAATGATAAAGCCTAGATTTTGGGGGAATTCGATATTCAGTTATTTACGGTTTTATTAAAAAAACCGTATCCTTTCTTTCTTAAATATTTGAAAATTAAAAAAATATATATATACACATAAATGGGACTAACCACCACTTGGGACCCCTCCTTCACGACCACTTCGGTTCTCAATGTCAACCGCCTTCTTCTTCTTTGGTGGTGGTTGAGGTTCTCCAGTTGATGGATGCCTTCTTACTCGACGTCTTCCCTTTTTGGTTTTCTTCTTCGGAGGTATCATGCTTTTTTGTTTTACTAGTATTATTACCAGTGCTAAAGCACGGAAATTGTTTTTCTGTTATATATATAAAGTAAATATGGCCATAAAATCTAAATACTAATCTCTAATTTCTTTATAAGAAAACTATTCAACTTTGAGAAACAAATCTATTGCAAAAGAAAATTTATTAAATAATGGTAGATTATAATTTTTTTTAAAATGTTAAAAAAATATTTTTAAATCAAAAGAGAAACATTGAATTAGTTTGCAAATGTAAAGTTAAACATAGTTCGAGAAAATAAAGATAATACATATGGGTGCTAAAATTGATTCGTTGATCTTAGCCACCATTTGAACCTTCTCCTCAATTTTTAATTCAAAGTTCGCCAATCTTTTTCTATCTCATGGAGTATCCAGCGTATCAGACGTGTTATGTTTATGTTCATTAGGAATAATGATAAGAGCATATGTTTTTATGTATAAAAAAGCATTCATGTATGAAAGAACCAGAAACAATGTTTTTTTATATAAAGAAATATTGCTTCTCTAACAAAAAAAACTCTCAACTAAAAAATGTTTTACTACCCAACTTATGTTTTTTTGTTAACAATCACTGAGGATATTAATGATAAAACATTTTTTGTTTGAAAAAACGAAAAAAAAAATGTTTAATGATATCGATGAATGAAAACACACAAATTAATTTAATACCAAATTATGATGCCAGCTCCAAAAAGACCAAAACACATGTTATTGTGTATTCTTACAATGAAGTAGACCAAAACACATTTTAAAGTTGACCGAAATATCTTTTGCACATTAGCTTCCAATGGACTGTACTATCTCAAGAAGTTGTTTTCCCCCTAAAAGAGACAATGAAAAAGAATCATTAGCAATGATGATGGATTGAATGAAAAAAAAGACAAAGACAAAAGCTAGAATAGTATCAAAATAAGTTATACCTCTTGCGAATAGTATGAGAAGGGAAGTTGCCTTGTGTTCCAGTCCACTCTCCTGATGGCCTATCACACGTTTAAAAAATAGATGTTTATACATATAGAGAAATAGGAATTTTCTATTTCAAAAATTGAAAAAGTGAATGACATCGGTTTACTCCATGTACCAAGATTCATGACACAATGGCACTTGTTTACGCTATGACATGTGTTTTCATTGATGAAGGACAATTGCATCGCCTCTCTCTCCCGTATCCTCAAACTTGAGTTACTCCAAATGGCATCATTATTGTGCTCCACCCTCACCTACATAGCAAATTTCACGTGGACCGAAGGTGATATCCTTGGCTCCACCATCTTCTTTGTCTCTGTCGTAGTCTTCGTTTACCTCTCCGCCACATTCCTCTTTCGCGTCACCATTGATTCACTCCCCTCACTCGGTCCCGCAATCTCAAACCAATGAAAAAAAAAACACGAGAAGAATCTAGGCAAATCTGAGTTTCGTCTCTTTGATTCATGACTTGATTACTTTGAAGATTCTAGGAAAATCGTAAACTTTAGGTGTGGGTTGAGAGAATATGGATTTGAGAAAATGAGAAAAAGAAAAGGAAAAAGAAAGTGCGAGCGAGAGGAAGGAGAGATTTTAGTAACCGTTCATGAAATGAACTTTTTATGAGGAAGATTAAACAGTTTAAAATTGTGAGTTTAGTTTCAAAGATCGTGTGACTATAAACGTGGTGTGTGGTGGGTGAGTAATTTTAGAGATTTCTAGAATCAAGTTATTTGGTTTGTTATAGAAAACAGTTTTACGTTTAAAAAAATTGTTTTTAGTAATTTTTTTTAATATGAAACCAAGTCATGTGGCAGAGTATTATTGGTCGTGTGACTTGTGATTTAGTATAATAAA